ACACACAGACTGTGAGTCATTGCAAAGGCCAGAGCTACCTTCCTGAATCTGCGGCATCTTTGGCGACAGAAGGGAGTTTCCCTCCGTCTGAAAAGCCGGGTATACAAGGCCACAGTGAGGGCCGTTCTGCTCTATGGTAGTGAGACTTGGTCCCTTCGGTCCGAATATCTGAGACGCCTTCAAGTCTTTGATCATCGTTGTCTGCGAAGCATTGCTGGAGTCGGATTGCACCAGGGTATCCGCAACGATGATGTGCGTAGGCCAGTACTAGGTGGTGATAATCATGCTAGCTCCTTAGAACAAGAGATGGCATTGAATCAATTGCGTTGGCTCGGGCTCGTGCTACGTATGCCTGCTTACGGCTTACCTAGAAAGGCGCTGTTTAGTCTGCCAGATGCAGGGTAGCGCAAGGCTCCTGGTGGACAGAAGCTGACTTGGCAACGGGAGATAAAGTCACTGACGACCAACTAGGTGCCGTTAGTCCGTCTCACCTTCCTCGCTGGAGTCCACGTGGCTCGCCCTGCGCATGGCTCGAGACTTTACAGGACATGGCTCGCAACCGACACCAGTGGCGCGTCTGCTGCTGTCTCATAATCGGATTGTCTGTTTAAGGTGTGTTTGGTGCTGAGTTATCTGAGGGGTAATGGCTGATTATGACGCGTGGCAGTGAAATCCGCAAGGAATGGCCACTACGTGGCCATTGTCCACTGCTTCGTCCCACGCTTCACGAGCAACCAACAAATTCGTCAGACTCGAAAACCCTTCCGGATTCCGTGTAGTGCACTACTGAGTAGATTAAATCTATTCAGGTGAATTTCCAACGGATCTGTCACCAGGTTTTCAAGTAGTTTGACCACGACGCTAGTCAGACATCATCATCATCATTACACGTTAGCTGGAGGTGGAAAACACCTCAGCTATTGTGCCGCAATACAAAAGACAAGAAAAGGAAAACAGTGGCACGCCCGCTGAGTCCCCAGTAACGGATGGTCATCGTTCCGGAGAGCTAACAGCTGGCTGCCGTAAAAAGAGAATCATATTATGCCTAACAGATGAGATCGTGATTGGAGGGGGATATTAAACAGGAGGGGGATGGGCAAAGGAAATCACAACACAAACGCCATTGGTGCCGGCTCCTAGCCATATCAGCAAGTGTGTCCAACCAAACGTGTTCATCGTCCTTAGGACCCCAGCCAGGCAGTCGGGATGCACCAACCGACGCCAACTTCGAAGTGAGGGTTTTCATTTCTCTCGACCAAGTCATCACTTGGCCTCCCCTCCTCCTCTCCCAACCGCACCCACAACGCGCAAACAATGCACGTCGCGGTAGTCGGTGTGCTGGCATGCGCAACACGTGGCCCAGCCATCGGAGCCTGGTGCGTGATATAGTGGTGCTGAGCGGTTCACTCGCTCTTCTGCACCAAATACGCGACGTCGAACACGCTCATTGCTCACGCGGTGTTCCCACCAGACATGAGCTAAGCTGCGAAGGCAGCGATGATCGAATGTGACGAGTCTCTTCATGTCAGTCGACCTGATGGGCCAGGTTTCACAATCATATAAGAGAGTTGAACGGACGGCTGCGTTGTAAACTCTGCCTTTCAGGGCGAGAGTAATGTCGCGTCTGCGCCACAGGTGGCGGAGATTGGCAAAAGCACCTCGAGCTTTTGCTATGCGGTTCGTAACCTCATCTTCAATTCCACGGGTGCTAATATAGCTGCCCAGGTACTTGAATTCCTGAACGACTTCTAGCAGATCACCACCAAGCGTTAGCGCAGGGTTGGGTCCCTGCCAATCTTGGAGAAGTACTTTGCGTTTCGATGGAGCAAAGCATAGCCCAAAGCGATTGACAGCCAGTGCTAATCGGTCCAGTGCTCTTTGGCATGTTTGGAGGCTGTCACAGATTAGGGCAATATCGTCCGCATACTCCAAGTCAAGAAGTCGCTCACTAGGAAGTAGCTCCACACCATCTAGGTCGTGTCCAGCGAACGCTGTTTCTATGACTTCATCAATAGCGAAGTTGAAGAGGAAAGGTGACAGCGGGCATCCTTGTCTCACGCCGCTGGTGATACTGAAGGGTGGCGACAGTTTGCCATAAACCCTCACCCTGCCCGAACTATGCGCGTACAGCGCTTTGATAATGTTTACATATTTATCAGGCACACCTTTCCTCAGCAGACAGTCCCAAAGGGCACATCGATCGACCGAATCGAAGGCACCTTTTATGTCAAGAAACACGACAACGGTGGGTCGCCAATAAACATGGCGGTGCTCCAACACTTGACGCAATGTGAAGATGTGGTCGATGCAGCCCCGACCTCGACGAAATCCGGCTTGCTCTTCCCGAATCTGGCTTTCACGAGTGCCAGTCAATCTGTGGAGAATGACAGAGGCAAGCAATTTAGAGGCAATCGAAATCAGACTGATCCCTCTATGATTGCCACATTCCAAACGAGAGCCTCCCTTGAAAATTGGGACAATGACGGAGCGGTTCCAGTCTCTCGGGACTGTCTCCTGCTCCCAAAGTCTTACTAGCAACTCGTGTAGATCATCTGCTAGAGCAGGTCCCCCGAATTTGAAGAGGGCTGGAGGAATTCTATCTGCTCCTGAGGACTTATGCAATTTCAACAGCCGGATCTCACGTTC